TATGTGTGTGTGTGTGTGTGTGTGTGTGTGTGTGTGTGTGTGCCTGTGTGTACATACATACACTTTTACTTGCACACGTGCATGCAAACCTTTTCACACCAGTTCGCTCGGCACTATTATATCTACGCCTACATACAGACATGTGTATACCACACACACATAAACACATACGTGCATATACGCCTGGACGTGAACGGTATTCTGGAACTCGGGCAAGAAGTGCGTTACATCCTCAACCGTTAACCGCTCCAGTGCTTCTATCTTGTCGCGTATGGACCATTTGACGCGTTGTAGTATACAAAGTCGCGATTCTGAGAGAAGAAGGAGGGAGAGAATACGAAGACGGAGAAGTCATTGAATACACATAGGATAGGAGCAAGAAGTATATGGAGATAGACAGCTTTTAGCAATATGTGAAAGTACTAGGAATGAGGAGAAGTCATGGAGAAGGGAGTGTTTAATGAGATACACAAGTACCAAGAATACGGCGGCGTACTTAGAAATAGGAAGCGTATATACGGATACGCACAAGTATTGAGAATTGGAGGAGAAGCAATGAGAGACAGGTAATTAGATATAACAAGCATGTAAGAATGTACAAAATCAAGTAATGGGAATATGCTGTTGGGGAACAGCTTCTTCGTAGACAGACGCCCAATAAAAGCAACCAAGTTTATTTCACACCCAATAAAAACAAAACCACTTCCACACATAGACCCCAATAAACCATACCCTGGCACGCCCTGTCTGGCTTCAGTAGATCAATGTGCCGCTCTTGCACTATCTTCCTCATAGCCAGAGGTGCTCCAACCAAGTTTATTTCACACCCAATAAAAACAAAACCACTTCCACTCATAGACCCCAATAAACCATACCCTGGCACGTCCTGTCTGGTTTCAGTAAGTCATTGTGTAACTCTTGCATTAGCAGGTCTCTAGTGTCGTTGAAGGCAGCCTCAGTCGTCGCAAAGTTCTTCATAGTGCTTGTTAAGTGATCTATGAGCACTGGTACCTTGTGGTTAAACCCAGCCAGCTATAGAGAGAAGGTGGAGTGAGATTATACTGAGGGTATACCCAGATGCAGTACTATTGATATGAAGTATTATGAACAATGTACACAGGAAGGCATAAAGAGCCTGTGAAGGGTAGTGATATGAGGTGGTACTACGAAGACACAGGAGAATGTATAAGGTATAGAGATGGCATTCAAGTTGGTGTGTTTAATGCGTATAGTTGTACAGAAGACTATATATATCATTATGCGTATATATTGTATATATATATATATATATATATATATACATACATACATA